AGAGAGAGAGAGAGAGAGAGAGAGAGAGAGAGAGAGAAACTTCAGGGTGTCACTAAGCCATCCACTAAGTAAATTGAGGATTATCTGTAGTTTTCTTCACCAGGAATTCCTGGTGAATATGGCCTGTTGCAAGAACTTCTTGCACTAAGCAGTATGCTAATAATTACTGAATCGTGGCAGGTATCTCTCAACCTTCTGAGTTATAATACCAGCATTCCAAGGGACAAGGTAAAGAAGCACGCCTAGGGTAACAAAAAGTAACAGAATATAAGGTCCTGGCTCTGCAGTCTTCTCAAGAAAGCAGAACTCTTGAAACAATTATCATTTCAAAAGGAACTTTTATTGAAAAACAGTGATAGCAAAGGAGATGTGGGGAGGATCTGATGTTTCCCCGTTCAAAGTGTTAGCTTAAACCACTACACCTCCCAATGTCCAGTTCAACACTGAGCCAATCCCAAGGTGGGAAGCTGTTTTGAGAACCTCAGATAGAGAAGGTGATAACTGTCAGCTCCTGGGCGCTTCGGTTTCATTTTCTCAGAAAATGGAAAGATAAAGCAGATGGCTCAAAGCACATTCTTCTCCCCCTCCCTAATATGACCCAAGGCATATTCCTTCCTCCCTTCCTATTTCCCACAAGATACAGCAAAACAAAGCAAATGAAACCCCATACAAAGAATCCCCTCAAGCCTTTTTCCTTCCCACCACAATGGCAGCGTCCCGATAGGGAACTATGGGAGGCTATTTAGCGAAAGCAGTCATAGGATTTCAGTTTTCATTTCCTATTCCACTGTCCAAAAGAACCACCTAAAATTACTTTTTTGCTTAGTTGGGGATTTTAAAAAATGTTGATTAGTGCACTATTAGTTTAGCAATGCAAATTAGCTACCCAACAGGAAGCTCCTCTCTTAGAAAAGTAATTGTTAGCTTCTATGTGAGATAAATGATTCTGGATTTCAGAAAATTCTCAGGCTTCAGCAGGGCCCACAACTAAACTTATGAGGTATAAGAAATCACGTCCAAGATTTTAGTTTTAGTAATAGATTAATGTGGGAAACAAGGTACCTGTATGAAATTCATAAGCTTTTAGTCTCTGCCATAGTATAAAGCATAATAAAATGAATGCAATTAAAATACAAAGAATTAACAGTTAAAAGCTTGGAGAAAAAGATGTGTTTTTGCCATTCTCTTACATACTGCAGAATGGGAAGCAAGCACAACTTCTTAGCAAGGGCAATCCATAGGCTGAGAAGCCACAAAGGAGAATTTCCCATTTATCTATACATCATGCTTCTAGCAACTGGGGCATCTTCAGAAGAGCCTTTCTTGTTGGTCCAAATAACTAAGTACAGTAGTTTCACAGCTATGTTACATTAATGATAACTTTAAGGATTACCTCTCCTCTTAACTTAAGAAAGTGAAGACTCTTGAAACAAAGTATTTCAAAAGGAACCTTTTAAGTAGAAGTGACAGCAATACATTCAAAGCAAAGTCTGAATACCTTTAGGCAAGACAAGTAGAATTAAAGCAGTAGAGACCCATCCCTTTCGCCAATCCACAGGTGTGAAGATGTTATTGTACCGGCTACTCTGAGAAACAGATAAGCATACTTTCCCATGGCCATCTTCCAGTTGGCTATTAAAGTGAAATAACCCACATAACTCCCTCCTATATATTCCCCAAGAGGTGAGAAAATCTCAGGGCTCTTCGGTGCCAGGATACAAGTTATAAAATACCAGTTGTCACAGGCAATACTAATGAATAGAATCCAACCCCCCCCTTCTCTCAATTGAATGGCAGTATCACTTTTAGGGATCTGACAATAACTCTGGAATTGTACTTTTTATCAAAATTACCAATTTCAAATCCAGTGATAGCTGGTAGTCAAAGAGTACCCTGAAACTGCACACCTTCCCTCTCTGAACATATCTCAAACAAGTATCATTTATTTCCAGAATGTACATTCATCTTTTATAACAATACTTTTGTCATGTCTAGATTTAATTTCAGCTTCTTTTCCCTCATCCAGCCATTATGAAGCTTAGGCAATCAAATGATTGCTTCTGAAGAGCTAGAAAGGAAGCTATACTAGAGTTAGGTTTCGTCAGCAAAAGTTGTTTGTATATATCAAACAGCACCAAGACCAGTTAGGATCTTGTGAAATACTGTAGGACAATTATGTAGGTATTAATTAAAGATCCAGTTTGACCTAGTGGTGAAGGCACCAGGCTAGAAAGCAGGAGACCATGAGTCCAAATCCCATCTTAGCCAAGAAAGCTGGCTGGATGACTTTATGCCAGTCTCTCTCTCTCTCTCAGCTCAACTCACTTCACAGGGTTATTGCTGTGGGGGGAAAAGGAGGAAGACGGTATGTTGATATGTTTATCACCTTGTGTTATTTGTAAAAATAATAGAAGGCAAAGTACAAACAAATAAATATTAAATAGAAATCACCGCTGAGGACAGAATTTTTGCACTGGACTAGAACCACTAAAAAGAAGGTTGTCAATGCCCAATCAGACAGTCAAGAAAGATATCCTAGTTGACTGTATCAAAACCCAACAAGACAACCAAGAGAACCAACAGGGTTTCACTGCCCTCTAGCACATATCATCCATTGAGGTGGTAAAAGTAGTCTCAGTGCCATATGTCAGATGAAACAACATTTGAGGTTGATCCAGAAAACTGGAATAGCCAGGACACGCTATAACTATTTCTTTTCAGCTGGCAAGAACACATCATGCACTAAAAAAGGCACCTCACTTAACCATGACCCTACTAGCCAACCCCTAACAAACTGACTGAATCAGAAAGGAGAGTCAAAGGTTGGTCAAGCTCTCATCTCTCTGCCTTCACAATATGGACAAGCAGAAAGAATCAATATGAATCTGTTGTCTGTTATCCCCCCACAATTCCATCTTTTATACATACTCTATCTCTATCTCTCTATCTATCTATACACACACATACACACCCTTTTCAATAATTTTTGCAAGACTCTAGTACACTAATAATTTTCTCAAGTTTTTGATTCAGAACAGCCAGTTCCTTTTCTTGAACTTAATATAGCATCTTCCTACTGTAAATCT